TCAGGTCACGGCAAGAGCAGGACCAGCAGTCCAGCAGCAGGCCACGGACAGGTCCACCGCTCGAGGTGATGCAGTTCTGGGGTGAGCCCCCCCTCTCCCCCCTTCTCTCCTCCTCTGCCTCTCCCACCTCCGTCTCTTCTCTTTCCAGTCCCGAGTACTCACTAGTTCCCAAGGCTACAAATTCGAGACCATCTCAACGCTACCTACTCCGTGGGGTGAAACCTCTCGAGACTACATCGAGGATCGGGAGAACCATATTGTCAGCAACAAGGAGCAATACTGCTCGGTCGTCCGTACAGGTATCGGTCAATCCATTCTATGTCTTGGCGGTGAGGTTGATGCTAGTACGTTTCCTCTCCTTTTCCTTCTATATCTATCTCCCTCCCTCCCTCCCTCCCTCTCCTTCTACTTCTCTTTCTTTCTCTCTCTCTCTCTCTCTCTATATATATATATATATGTGTGTGTGTGTGTGTGTGTGTATGTGTGTATACTTACATACCGCTTTCCCGCCTTCCCAAAAGTCTGGGACTCCAAACCTCTCGAAAAGGGCAGCCCAATCAACTGGGTCGAACTCAAGACGTCGGTCGAGATCAGAGGCTCCCACGATGCCGAAGTCTTTCACAGGAAGCTCATGAAGTTCTGGATCCAATCTTTCCTCCTCGGCGTCCCCAAGATCATCGTCGGCTTCCGTAGCCGCGAGGGCATCCTGCGCGGTCTTGAGGAGATTGACACGCAGAGGATCCCTCAGACGGTGAATTCGAGGCCGAATCCCTCATGGAATGCCGACATGTGCGTCAACTTTGCCGGTGTTTTCCTCGAATGTATGCTTTCTCTTCTTCCTCTTCTTCCTTATCCTCTCTCTCTCTCTTATCTGGCCATTCCTTTCTGACATCTCCCGACAACCAACAACCAGGGCTCTCAAAGACAATCAACGACGAAGGCGTATGGCGTATCCGTCGTCTCCCTCAGTCGCCAACAATCGACGTGTTCAAGGTGGAAGAGACGGGCCACGGAGACATCCTGTCGGATGAGTTCAAGAATTGGAGGATCAAACTGTCTCTACAGTAAGGGGGATTGTGTTATCCTGAATTGGATGCCCATCAGTAATACCTTGTGGTAGTAGTACTGCAGTACCTGTCATATATCTCCTCTCACATCTACATCACGACCATAACCAAGTTTGGAAAACAAAAACAAAAAAACAAAAACAAATCAATCTCATGAAACATTTCGCCATTCATCTACCATACACACACTATTTAAGAAATAGAAAAGAAAAAAATTAATTACAAAAAGAAGGAGAAAAAAAAGAGAAATTGAGAAGAAAAAAAAGATACCAAAACGCCATGAAAGAGCGTTATGCAACAAGAAATGTAGGCCATCTCCAACAAAACACGGCTTCTCGCTCACTCTGCAAGGTAGAGAGAGAGAGGAACCATGTACTGAGAACAAGTGTACAGGAGCAAAAGCTCTCGTGCCGCGAGACACGCACAAGACATGCAAAACCCGGGCATCATATCCGGGCCTACAGAACAAGAAAAAGAAGTCAGAAAGGAACAGAAAAAGGGAAACATCGTACGCTTGTCTGATGCATAGGACGCATAATGTGAACAAGGGAGAGAAAGAGAGAGAGAGAGGAGGAAAACCCAAACCTAATCAGACAGGTGAAAAAAAGAAAAAAGAAAATTCAAAATCGTACAAATTTAGAGATGAGCGGGTAGTGTCGATGCAAACTGAGAGTCAGCACTCACGTCCCCGGCCACCGGACCCGGAGACCCTCTGCCCACCGGTTATACAGCACGTCGGACAGCAGCTTGGAATGCTCCATGCCCGGCTTAGCCTCCCTGCCGGGATACTTTGATTCGAGAAGCGACCTCTCCCTCTCCTTCTCTCTCGGGCTAGCAGCAGCGTCGCCGGGACCCGGGGAACCCCCTTGTCTCCGTCGATGGCTCTTGAGGTGGGGGTTGTTGGAGCTGAGGATCAGTTTCGAGGGGCTGCCGTTGCTCGTGGCGACGCTGCTGACGCTGACGTGGCTGGCGTGGCTGGCGTGGCTATTGCTGTTGGGAGTGGCGCTCTTGACAATGACCGTTCCCTGGGGTGTGCCGTCGTCGGGGAGCATCTTGCCGGCCGGGGTGGACGAGACGGCGGAGTGGAAGCCGGCCATGGCCGGGTTGTTGCTGAGCAGGGCCGAGTTGAGCTTCTTGTCCTGGGTCATGGATGCGACCACGTTGCTCATGAGGTGGTACGCACCTTCCGGGTCGACCATGTCGAGCGCGGCGAAGGCGTCCGTCAGCTTGGCCAGGGCGTCGCGCTTGTGCATGGCCGACGTCTGGGCGTGCAGCTCCGTCAGGGAAGGCTCGATGGCCCTGCTGTACAGCCTGCGGCCGAGGATGGCTTCCTTGCCGTAGGGCTCGACGGGGGTGATGGGAGAGCTCGACGACGCCGTCGGCGGCGCGTTCTCGTCGCAGAACACATCGTCCGGAGACGTGGGCCGGCCCGTCTGCCCGGACGTCGAGCCGTCCGAGGGAACGCGGCGGAACAGGCGCATCGTCGATCCCGAGTTGCCAAACGACATGTCCGGCTGGAGGGGCTTCTTGGGCGGCGCGACGGACGGACGGGGCGACGAGTCGTTCCGGACGGACCGGTTGCGGACCGAGTTGGCGCCGCGGACCGATCCGCCGCCGGCAGAGTGCATGGCCGACACCTGCGCCAGGGACGGCGTGCGGCGCACGGTGGTCCTGCGGACCGTGCCTGCCGCACCCGCCGGTGATGAGGCACCCAGAGGCGCATCCTTGAGGTCGAGCTTGTGCATCGACTCGTCGACGGACAGGGCGGATGAGGGCTTGCGCTGCTTGACCACGGGCCGCTTGGGCTGCGGCTGCTGCTGCTGCTGCTGCTGGAGTGGGAGCGGGGGCGGGGGAGGGGCGGTCGACTTGACCGTGTCAAAGATCCACTCGTCGTCGTCGTCCTTTGGCAGGCTGAGCGTCTGCAGCGTTTCCTGGTAGTAGATGGGGTGCTTCTGGCGGTTCTGGTTGGCGTCCCACATCCGCTTCCGGGACATGAGCTCCTGCAGGGCCTCGACCTTGCCGGCGGAGCGGATGAAGCGGTGTCGGAGGAGGTCCTTGGCCGTGGGCCGTTGGTCGTATTCCTTTGTCAGGCACTGGGCCACGAAGTCGCGGAAGTCGCGGCTGAAGTTGGCGTCGAGGGCGGGCGGCGGGTTCTTGGGGATGTGGAAGAGCACCTTCATCGGGTGGATGTGGGCCAGTGGCGGCTCTCCGTTGGCGAGCTCCATGGCGGTGATGCCGAGGGACCAGATGTCGGCCTTGAAGCTGTAGCCGTCTTGCTGGATGACCTCGGGGGCCATCCAGAACGGGGTGCCGACAAAGGTGTTGCGCTGCGACTTGATGTTGGTCAGCTGGGCGGCGACGCCGAAGTCGGCCAGCTTGACCTTGCCGGCCTCGGACAGGAGAACGTTGGCGGCCTTGACATCGCGGTGGATCTTGCCCTCGCTGTGGAGGTACTGGATGCCGAGGAGGAGTTCGCGGCAGATGATGGCGATGTGGGCCTCGCTAAAGTTGGCCGGTTTCAGCTGCGGGACATGTCAGTCGGGTCTCTCTGTCCTGCCGTCCGTCTCGTCCCGATGGACGCATCCGTCCTTGGGTTGGAACGTACCAGGTCCAGGCAGGAGCCTCCTCCGAGATACTCCATGACTATCCATAGCTTGTGACCCCGGAGGAAGGATGCCTTGTACTGGGTGACGTAGGGGCTGGCGCAAGTGCTGAGGACGGCGATCTCGGCCTGAATGTCCTGGATGTCGTCGTCGTTGGATTCGAGGTCAATCTGAGACGGGGATGAGGATATCAGCGAAATTGAACGTCATCAGCTGACATGCAGAGGCATCGTTTCAGACAGGATCATCCAGTCCCCCCCTCCCGTCGCGGTCCGAAACGTACATGCTTGATGGCGACAGTCTCGCCAGTAGCCTTCTCGACTCCCTTGTAGACGACACCAAAACTCCCGCCTGCGTTTGGAAATCATGTCAGCATACGTGTGAAAGCTGAGTAGAGATCTGGTGAGGAGGGGTGCTGATCGTACGTCCAAGCTCTTCGAGCACCTGGTAATGGTCTGAAAGACCAATGTCGGCCATCTCGGTTCCAGGTCAATCGCGTGCGAACAAGCGGAGAGGCGGTCGTCGCCGTCGATGGGGGAGGGGGAGGGGGGAGGGAGCGTCTGAGAACAGGGGGGCTCAGAAGGATGAGAGAGAAAAGGTTGACGTCGCTTGACACCCGGTCGACGACACTCGTCTACGAGTATTCCGGGAGGAGAAGGGAAAAGAAGAAGAAGAAAAAAAAGAGGGAAAGTTAAAAGAGGGAAAGTTACCGCCCGGGCTCTGGGACAAGAGAGTGGAAAGAGAGCGATGTTTGCCTGCGGGAGAGAGGGTCCAGAAAGCAGTCGGTTGCGAAGGGCCAGGGCAGAGATTAAAAGAAGCCAGGGTCCGACTGTTGTTTACTTTTATCCACTTTGGGACAGCAGCTGGGGCCCTTCTTGGGGGGGGGGGGGACCAGTGGGGGAGAGTGGATATGGATGGGCTGATAGCCCCGGCTTCTACTACTACTCCGCAGAGCAGTAGGGTTGCTGTCCGTTCAAGGACTGCCAAGGTGAAGGATGAAGCTGACGATGAAGATGGATTGGGTACACGGGAAAGATGAACGAGGTGTTTGATACATGCATCAGTTGCTGGTCGTCTGTGTCGTGGCTTCCCCCCCCCAGATTGACGGCCGTTGAAGTCGGGATCCGGTGCTGGTATGGGTACGGGCTGATGCATTCCTCTGGGCGTCTGTTGTCATTGTCTGCTGACCCCGGTACTTCAGAATTGAGTATTGCGGATTGCTAAGTACTCCTGTACAGATCGCTCCGTAGTACCATGGTAAGCACGGCCCGGGCTCTTTTCCGCGGCTCTCATGGATACGGGTACATGTGTTATTAGACGCGATGCTCGTGCAGACAGATGTACAGGGTCTCCGTACAGCCTGCCAGTCTCTCACAGCACCCCCATGACGCTCGCTGATTGGGATCCGAAGGGATTGCGACCTGCACATCCGTACCCGTGTACGCGTCTCCGAGTTCAAGCCACTGCGATCTTGTGTGGCGTACAGTGTGATATACGTACACATAATCTGTGATCCGTATGGGCTAGTGCGGAACGGATCAGGGCCGATACGATCTATATGTACGGAGTACGGGTATACATACGTACGGGCATGCTATGCACCATGTACCGGTATCGATCAACTAGGACTCCGAGACTTAGCCGCCCGTCATTTTACCTGGAGGCTTGCCCGCGTCAGCTTCCAAGACAGACCGTGACCGGAAACGAGATGTCTGGCATGTGTCCGACGAGCTCTCCACACTCCCTCCGAGATACTCCGCACGCGTATTCTGATCTGTGATGACGATACCTCGTACCCGTGTACGCGTGTACGTGCTGGCCGTCCCGAGCACGGCGCAATGGATGAAGGGCAGTGGATGCTCCGTATTGCTGGCGGTGATGCGAGTACTCGTAGGTGGTGATCTGTATACTACCACGAGCAGCAGCATCGCGATGCGGAGTACGGATAATCCTGTCCAGAATCCACCAGCATCTATCAATAATATAAGAGGGGAGCCCCTGTACAATGAGGTCACAAGACGGATGCTGGGTACGGTGCCGACCTCACAGTGTCCGGGGCTTCTCCTGGCAGACCCCTGTAGATCCCTGCAGCGCATGCCAGCGCGGGTGCTGCAGCGTGCTCGTACCCGTCGTACCCGTCGTGCTGGTGGGTGCAATCACGGCCGGCTACAGCCTACGATACAGCACTGTTCACAGGTTACATGGCAGCTTTATGGGTATTCGCACGAGTTACGAGCTAGCCGTACATGTATGTGAGCAGCTCATGGAGATGGCACCTAATACAGTCTAGCACATGCGAATAATCAGCTCACAGCAACAGGTCTCCGTGCTAGACAGGCAGAGCAACCGCCAGGCCTAGAAGCTAGATCGGGTACTAGCAGTACTCGTAATGCTAGTCTACGGAGTAACAATACGATACATGTACTCGTATCAGTCCAACCGGCCCATGGCAACGGCTGAGATCGTATCCACCACACACACACTCAACTCGAACGTTTCCCTGCCAACCAACCCGTTCGTCTGTATTCGTATTTTTACATATACATAATTTTTTTTTTTTTGCCAAATCCTACCGCCCAGCGCTCGAGACAGGTGCTCAGTTGGCGACCGCCGACGTTGTCGAGCCACAGAGCGCCGTGCATCAGCCTGATCCCGGTTCCCAGACCGCCAGGTGAGACTGCAGACACACTTTCCTCTCTCGGCCCTCTCTCTCTCTCTCTCTCTCCCTCCCTCCTTCCCTCTCTTCTCTCTCTCTCTCTCTCTCTCTCTCTCTTTCCGACCGCCTTGATTTGCTACTTTATTTTTTATTTTTATTTTTTCATTTTTCTAACCTTTTCATCCTTGGTCAGCAGGAGGAGAAGCAAGAAACCGTCTTCTATCTCGAGATTCAATCCCACAGCTGCATCTCCCCTTGCATCGAAACGACTGCGTGGCTTGCCCGTATCATATCTCTATATCTTATTCTACTTTACGAGTGTCACGTACGGGTGCCACATACAGGTACCGCTGCTACTGGTGGTATATTACGACTCTCCGGTATTCCCACCGCGGCTCTCTAGTGCTGGTCAATCCCGCCCCCGTATCCCAGCCAACCGATTGCGATCAAACTCCTAACCGCACACCAACAAACCACCACCCACCCGCTAATATCGCATTTCCCCAGCTAATAATACCGTCTGCCGCATCACGCACACCTTCAGCCTCGTTGAGATATGATAGCGTATCACGAAGCTTGAAGCTTGAAGCTTGACCATATTCAATCACACCACACATCCTTCATCACCACATATCATCACTCTCTGCTTCACGTCCAGCGCATTCTCCCTATCTCGCTCTCTCACAAGGTCATCTCACTGACCTATCGGGAGAGGGGGAGCACGACCTTGGGGGGGGGGTATCATTACAACGTTTCCCACCCATACAGGAGACCGTCGTCCCAGCCCTGGTAGCTTGGGCCTGCACCCCGACAGTCATCCACAGCCTCACATCGCAATGGCGACCACGGCACCGACGCTACCAGCGCGCTTCCCGTGCTGGTGCAGAGCCGTCTACTCCTGGGGAGGAGAGGTACGAAATATCCCACCCCACCATGCCCATCTTTCGCAGATGAGACCTCTGCCGGAGAGAAGGAGAGGAACCTCCCTGACCTGACACTTCACCACCAGTCCAAACGTGACCTAGGATTCATCGAAGGCGACCTCATCGAATGCCTCAACGCCGGAGACGGGCAATGGTGGGTGGGCAGGCTCTACCGCGATCGCAGGTCCGTCGGCTCTTTCCCCTCCAACTTTGTCCAGGTCCTCCCGCCCGACTTCCGCCCGACGACACGATCCGTCAGCCCTCTGCCGCCGGGCGGCAATGTCCCCAGACCCAGCAATATTCCCGTCAAGCCCAAGCAGAAGACCTTTCGCCGTCCCTTTGAGGCCTACTCCAAGGCTCCCCACTACACGACGGCTAAGCAGCCCGAGACCTTTCGGGAGATTGTCAAGCCTCAGAAGAAGCAGCGCGATAGCTCCGACAGCTCGCTGCGAAAGGCCGGCAGCAGCAGCCCCAAGGATGACTCGCCGCCTCCCATGGCGCTGGTCCGCGCCGGCTACGGCGCTCCCAGGGGCCCCTCGCCCGCGCCTGCGCCTGCGCTGCAGCATCGGGGTTCTGTCGCCACCGACAGGAACGTGTCTCCCATGTCTCCCATGCCTCCTGCGCCCCAGCATCATGGACACCCATCCAGGGCACCCTCGCCGCTGCCCCCTCACCAGCAGCAGCAGCAGCACCAGCACCAGCACCAGCACCAGCAGTACGATTACGCCCCCAGGGCTCCCTCACCGCTGCCTCCCCAGCAGCAGCAGCAGCAGCAGCAGCAGCAGTACGACTACGCCCCCAGGGCGCCTTCGCCGCTGCCCCCCCAGCAGCAGCAGTATGACTACGCCTCCAGGGCGCGTTCACCTGCGCCGCCGCCGCAGCAGTACGACATGGTGTCTCGCGGGCCTTCACCGGGCCCGCCCCCTCAGCACTACGGCTACGTCTCCCGTGGTCCCTCGCCGGCGCCCTCGTTTGCCCGCAACCCCAGCTTCAGCGCCGACGTCGGTGCCGACGGGCCTCCTCCGCCTCCACCCCCTCCGCACCGGCACGTCACCAGGAACGGCTCTCAAGACATGCAGGCGAGCCCTTACGACATTGCCCGGCACGGTTCGAACGGCTCCTACGTCCCCTACAACCCCTACTCCAGGTCGCGTGAGAACTCCAACCTGTCCTTCAACAACGAGCCCGAGGTACTGTCGCGCAGTGGCTCCTACGACCAGGGCTACCCTACCAGACCGCCCACCCATCATGCTCAGGGGCCGCCCACACCCAACCGGCCTTCTCCCGGTCCCGGCAGCGGCATGACCCCCTCACCTCTGCGCGAGGCCATGGATGGCGTCATGGAGCAGCTTGACGAGCTTCGGGGATTGGGTGAGCCCGGCGACCGCTCTGCCGGCCCGACGGAGCCCCATAATCCGTGGTCGCCTGAATCGTTCAACATGCTGGCTAGCCCGAGCAGGCAGAGACCCCCGCAGCATGGGAAGATGGCCGCCATGTCCTCCGCCGGTATCCCCTCTGACGAGGGCTACGACACCTGGAGCGCCGGCTCTTCTCAGGATCCACCGTACCAGAGCGGAGAGGTTCCCGACGGCGGCGACCTGCCCCCGCTCGACGACTACGTCCACAGGATGGAGAACCGCTTCTCCAGGGTGCACAAGTACAGCGCCAGCACCCCCGTGGCAGCGTCCGCCAGCAGGGATGACCCAGGAGGCGACGCGCCCCCGCCGCCCCCCCCCAAGGGCCAGCCCTACGAGCGCCCCAGGTCGTCCCTCGGCGACATCTTCAGCAGGGGCCCGGCCTCGCCCGAGCGCAGACTCCGGGCCCGCAAGTCGGCATACGGTGTCGTCGGCGAGGGCGTCGCCCGTACGTACACGACCAAGACGAACTCAACCGAGGCCTCGACCGGGAACCAGAGCAACGCGAGCGGTACGACGCAGAGCAGCGCGAGGACGCTGTGGAGCGGCGCGTCGGCCGGCGCGTTCAGCAGCACCAGTGCCGGCAGCATGGCCCGCAACGCCCAGCGACCCCAGAGCGCCTTCGGTCTCCGCGACGCCGAACCTGAGCGCCCGGAGACCCCGTTCACCGGCGTCACCTACCATAGCAGCCACGCCACCGAGTACCAGTCGCCCACCAGACGCCCCAAGTCGCAGGCCGGATTCCACGACGACGCGGCCGCCGGTCTGGGGGGTCTGGTGCAGCCCAAGGCTGCCAAGAGGAACATCTTCAAGAAGATCTTCGAGTCGGCCAGGACCGGCGTGGCTACCGGCCGATCGGGCATCGGTGGCAGCATGATGGGAGGAGAGTCGCGCCCCAAGTCCCCGACGCGGCCGCTCACCCTGGGCGGTTCGGCCATGGTGGGCATGGGGAACAACCTGTACATGGGACGGGAGAGCTCCCGGGACGCGGCCGCCGGCAGTGACGTGGACTGGGTGCAGGTGCGGCGCGACGTCAACCGCTCCAACTCGCTGAGCCAGAAGGAACGGACCGAGAGGCAAGAGCGGTGCCAGATGCTGGACCACCCGGCCCTGAACCCCGTAGACGAGCTGTACGACGGCGTCGAGGGAGACGAGGCCGCCGACGGGAGCCCCGTGCTGGAGCCCGTCAGCTACCAGTCCATCAACTTCAGCCAGGTGGACAAGAACTCGCGCTTCATCGCTGGCCTCCCACCGCTCACGACGGCCGTCACCCTGGCCACGACGTACGTGTGCCGCCCGTACCGGAGCGAGGTGCAGCGCCTGCGGGCCATCTTCACCTGGGTGGCCGAGAAGGTGTGCTGGGAGGAGGATTTCGAGGGCGAGATCGACACGCGCCAGGTCATCCAGAGCAAGCGCGCGTCTGCCAAGGAGTGCGCCGTGCTGGTCATGGAGATGTGCTCGTCCATCGGCATCCGCTGCGAGGTGGTGCGCGGCTACCTCAAGGGCCCCGGGGAGCTACCGGACCTGAACCTCGCTCCCCGCTCCAACCACTGGTGGAACGCCGTGATCGTCGACGACGAGTGGCGCATCATGGACTGCTCGCTCGCCAACCCTTCCAACCCTCGTCGGGCCGACTACTCGAGCGCGTCGGGCTCCTCGGCAGACTTCTGGTACTTCCTCGCGCGTCCGCTCGAGGTGTGCTGGACGCACGTGCCCGAGCACCACGACCAGCAGCACATCGTCCCCCCTGTGGCGCACGAGATCCTGCTCAACCTCCCCTGCGCCTCGCCGGCCTTCTTCCGGCAGGGCATCGAGATGGCCGACTACAACACCAGCCTGAGCCGCATAGAGAACCTGGAGATGGTGCACCTCAAGTTCAACGTCCCGCCCGAGGTCGAGGTGGCTGCCGAGGTGGAGACGCGCGCCTACTCGCGCGACGCAGACGGCGACGTGTTCGAGAGCGGCGACGTGATCAAGAAGCGCGCCCTCGCCCAGGCAGAGTGGTTCAACGGCGTGAAGCGGTACACGGTCAAGGCTCTCCTCCCCGGCGACGAGGGCCAGGGCGTGCTCAAGATCTACGCCGGCCAGCGCGGCCTGATGCACAGCATCAAGGACATCCCCCACCCGCTTGCCCTGTCCCTCCCCATCATCCACACGGGCGAGAACCCGCCCTACGAATTCGTGACGAGACATCCGACCCCCCACGCGCAGCGCCACGACATCTACGTCGTCCAGCCGCAGTGCCAGAAGCTCGCGCTCAACAACACCTTCGTCTTCGCCATCAGGCAACATCCTTCCAGCAGCTCCACCTCATCCGGCCCGGCCCCGCCCTCGGCCCTGACACCGTCCTCCAACCCCGGCGGGACGAGCCCGATCCCTTTTGCGCGCCCGACTTCGGCTATGAGCATGACGGCATCCATCAGCGGGGCGGGATCGAACCCGAGCTCGGCGAGCGGGATAGTCGCCGGCAAGAAGCCCGCCAAGCTGGCCATCCAGACGCCCGGGGGCAAGATTCTCAGGCTGATGAGGAAGGAGGACAAGAAGGGGATAAGCGTGGGGAGCATCAGGGGCGGCGCGGACGAGGATGCCAGCGACGGGGGAACGTGGGAGACGATCATCAAGTGCTCTGAGAAGGGGACGTGGAGAGGTCTCGTGCTGGCCGATAGGACGGCCAGATGGTGTGTCTTTGCAGAGTGGGTGTGCGTGTGATGCGAGCCCTTTTGCTCTCCTGAATTCTTCTTCTATCCTTTCTTGCCTGTTTTGATGCTGCATTTCTGGCCATGGCACTTAGATGCATGTTTTGGCGTTGGGCGGGAGGGGGAGGGGTAACGGGATATGCTGTAATTTATTTTTCCTCTTAGGAAGAGGGAGCTTGACAATTTGTACATGCCTTGAAGATCAGATATTCATTCCGCTGCCGTCCTCTCTGATCTTGGTGATTATACGTACAGGTCGCGTACGCACTCGTCGTAGCAGCAGGGCAATGCGTGACAGATGAACTACGCATGAGCGATTGACGAAGCTGCAACCCGGTGGTGCTGATAATATTTTCTATTATTAATTATTAATTACTACGGGTACAAGAGTGGAACGCTAGAGTAGATAGTGATACAGTGCGAAAAGCCGACAGACTCCGGTGATGTTTACAGTGCTCATCACAATATGCACCGTACGGCATGATTCTGTGATCCCCCACGGACGACACGGTGCAACGACTTTTTCAACATGCAAGTCCCGAAACATACACGCAACTCCACCCCGTCCGAAGCGAACGAAGGAAGGCAGAAGCCTGCACGACTTGATACGGACGAGACTACTGCCCGACCTGCCCTGCGCCTCCTCCCCTTCCCCCCGGCCATGCGCGGCATCATCGTCATCGCCAACCCTCTCGTCTCATGACGCGACCACCACGACCACGATCATGAGCTACTCGGCTGGATCGCTGCCTCCGGGCCACCCCGCTTATGCACAGCAGCAGCAGCAGCAGCAGCAGCAGCAGAACCAGCAGTTTCATCATCAACAACAACAACAACAACAACAACAACAACCTCAGCATCAACCACAACAGAATGTTCCCCCTCCGCAGTATAGCCAGATGGGCTACCAGGGCCAGCAGTTCCACCAGCAAGCATTTCAGATGCCCCAGCAGCAGCAGCAGCAGGCTGAGTACGCGTTCCCATCACAGCAGCAGAGCATGGGGTTCGACTACGGCGCAAGCTTTGCGCAGAACGGTGGACAGAATCAGTGGGCGGCCACACCGCCGTCATCATCGCCATTCTACGACGGGGGTTTTGGCGCCGTACAGGGTCAGATGAGCCACGAGCAGTTCGGCATGCCTCTTCCTCCCTCCTCCTCTTCCCCCATGACGACGCCAGGGGTCGTCGCGAACATATGGCTGCAGCAGCTGCAGCAGCAGCCGCAGGGACACTATAGCATCTCTCAGAGTCCTCAGCAGCACGGCGCAGGCTACCACCTGCCCTCGCCGCAGATGCCACCGCAGCAACAGCCTCAGGCTATCAAGCAGCACATGCCACAGAGGTCGCCGAGCGTGTCGATGCCCCTGCAGCACCAGCTGCAGCACCAGCAATTTGTCGGGCAGCCGCAGCAGTACGGCCAGAGCCACCAGCAGCAGCTCCGCCAGTCGCCCGTTCAGCCTGCATGCATGCGTCACAAACCGGTTCCATCGCCTGGTATGCCGTCGCAGAAAATGCTCTACCAGCAGCAGCAGCAGCAGCAGCAGCAGCAGCAGCATCCTCATATTCCCTCGCCGTCGATTCAACAGCAGGGGTATATCGGGTCGCCGTCGCAGGTTGCCACGCAGCAGGTTCCTACTACCCAGCCTTCACCGTCTCAGGTACACCCTCACATTCATCAGACCGTGCAGCAGCAGCAGCAGCAGATTCCGTCCCAGGGAGGACATGTGCGGCCCTCGCCGCGGCTTCAGCAGCAGCAGCTCCGGCAGCAACGCCCCTCCCCTCAGATACAGGCTCGACCGTCCCCCAAGGTACAAGCACGTCCATCCCCCCGAGTTCAGGCCCGTCTCTCTCCCCGGGTGCAGATGCGTCCATCCCCCCAGGCTCCTCAGGTCCGGCCGTCTCCCCAGGCGACACCTACACTTGCGGAACCGACTCCCGCTCCCGCTCCCGCTCCCGCTCCCGCTCCCTCTCCCTCTCCCTCTCCGGCTCGCACGTCTGTGCCTGTACCTGTAACTGTCCCGGCGCCCCCTCAAGAGCAACCAAAGCCTATCGAGCTCCCGCAGCCACAGGAGCAGCCACAAAGTCACTTTGAGCCTGTGGCCCCTGCCCCGGAGCAAGTGCAGTTTGTGAACCTTCAAGATATCCAGAGGATGCCCATGCCCGTCATGCCTGCGTCCGCCCCGGCCCCCGTCCCCGCCCCCGTCCCCGCGCCCGCTCCTCCAGCTATGCCCGACACGAACCCTCCCCCGATGAGCAACAGCGTCTCCTCGTCGACCACGACGCCCTCTCTTCAACCTGCCCCCGTCATCAAGCCCTCTCCTTCCAGCACGCCTCACATGTCGACCATACCCTCGATAAAGTCGGACCCGTCGCGCGTCCAGAAAGCGCAGCCGAAATCGGCATCGCAGTCTCCCGCCGTCTCGTCGAGTCGCCTTCCCAGCAGATCGCCCGCTGTATCCACCAAGCAGACGCCGCTCAACACGTGCTTCATGATGGTGACGCTGGCCGAGGAGTTCATCGAGAAGGCGCGTGCGGCCGTGCCGGCGGTGGCGGCCAGCCTTCAGCCAGGACAGGTGGACGAGTACCAGAAGCTGATCGGCACGGGGCTGGCGTGCCTCGAGGGTGCCCTGCAGAGCCAGGGACTGCCTCCCCGTCAGGAGGCTCGCGTCCGGCTCCGCTATGCGGCTGTCCTGCAGGAGGAGACGGAGAATATCATGGAGGCCGAGACTACGCTGAGTAAGGGTATCACACTGTGTGACAAAGTAAGGCTTTCGACTCTTGGCATGACCTTCCTCCGCCCCCCACCCCTGCACTGCCAACGCTGACTGACTGGTTGTGACCTTGCAGCATCGCATGATTGATCTCAAATACGGCATGCAGTACCTCATGATGAAGGTGCTGTTCCGTCGGCACCAGAAGGCCGCCCTGAAGGCACTCGACCAGCACATCGCCGACTGCGACGCGTATCAGCATGTGCACTGGGCCTACGCCTTCAGACTGCTAAAGGCTTCCTTTTACATGGAGGCCGGGAGCGCCGCCGACGCAGCCTCCCTCGAGAACATCCGGTCCATCCAGACGATAGCCTCGACGAGAGGTGACTCGGCCATGTGCGTGTACGCGTCGCTCTGGGAGGCCCTCATCCTGCTCAAGATGTCCCGCGGGTCGCCCGAGATGATACAGACGTGCCTCGCCCAGGCTTCCAAGTACCAGTTTGACCCCAAGGTCAAGATTCCCCAGCTGGAGCTCATGTACCTGCTGGTCGACTTCCTGTCGAGCCTGCACCGCGAGAAGCAGGACGGCGTCGTGGAGCGGCTCAGACGTCTTCAGAAGAAAATTGACGAGTGCCAGCACATGGCTACCAAGACGGACTTCCTGCTACCCGTCACCAAGCAGCCTACGTCGTCGCAGACCATCGGGGATGGCTTTTCCTTCATCGTCCGGCCTGGTGGCAGCGGTAGCGATTCGGATTACCTCGTCATGTCGTTCATGACGCAGATGGAGCTTACGGTGCTCGTGTATGTCTTCCTCCTCCGCTCCTCAAACTCTGCCCTTCCCCATCGTATCCGGTCGTTTCTCGAACATGCTGACATCGACGGCAGATTCACCATGGGCGGCGTGGTCTATCTTCACAAGCTGACATCCACCAAGGCATCGTCGGCGGATCTATGGCAACAGGGACTCAAGATTCTGGGCTACCGTACGTGTTTATCCGGGAACCCGAAAAAAAAAAAACTGACGCAACAAATGGGTGGCCATGTCGATTAACATCACCCTTACAGTAGACAGCCATTCGAGCACGTTGACGTCCGAAGCTTCCCACCCTCCCCTCGGCGAGGCAGTCAAGCAGAGGGAGTGGCGGGCCAGCGTCCGATGCTACCTGAACCTACTCCTGGGCCTGCTGGCGGCGAGCGGCTGCTCCTGGGACGCGGTGAAGCATCACCTGGCAGAGGCGGAGGCAGCAGAGTCACCGTCGACGACGGCGGGACCGATCAGCACGCTGCATCTCTATCTCAAGGGGGTATATTGTCAGGGCGTCGGCGACTTCGACAATGCTCTATACTATCTACAGGACGAGGCCTTCTCCCTGGCGGTGGACATGCCCAAGCACTCGCAGCGGCACCTGGCCCTCCTGGCGGCCATGAACAGGCTTTGGATCATGCAGGAGCCGCGGTACCAGGACGACCGGCAGACGATCGACATGATCAACGAGATGGAGCCCATCTGCAGGGACCACCCCAACATCGAGATCCGGGGCGCGTGGTCGTGCGTCAAGGCGACGGTGGTGACGAACCCGCCGCGGCAGCGGAACCAGCGCAAAGAGGACGCGGGGCGGGCGCTGGGCGACGTCAGGGCCTCGACGAACGCGCTGGCCACGACCATCGGGCTCGTCATCGCGCGGGACCTCCTGTACAACAACCTCCTGGGCGACCAGGCGTGGAAGTGCATGCAGGCGGCGGCGCACTGGGCCAACAAGAGCAGCAACCCGCTGTGGCAGAGCGTCGTCGACGGCATCCTGGCTGACTTCTCGGACGCCAAGAACGAAAAGGAGAATTCCAAGAGGTACTGGGATAAGGGGGTATACGAGGCGCAAGTTGCATTCAGTCAGAATTTCTCCTAGTTTTTTTTTTTTCTCCTCCCTCTTTTTCCCTTCTTTTTTCTCTCCTTCCCCTTCCTCTTCCTCTTCCTCTTGCTCTGTTTTACATTCGGTTGGGGTGGGAAAGTGATAGGGATAGATGTTGCTCTTGTGTGTGTCGGAGCGCTCGTGCGTGCCTTTGTATAAATTTTATTGAATCATGGCATTTTCCGTTTTCTTTAGGAGGGGGGGGTTTCCTTGCGGTTGCTCTTTTATCTTGCGTACCGGGCCAGCGAATGACGGTTGTACAATTATACAATATATATTTGGTGTACACGGGGGTGGAGGGAATGTATTGATGATTATTATTCAACCCAACCCAACCCAAACCAACCCCTTTTGCTTACATTAAACAGACGCTTTTCGTTCTCTCTCTCTCTCCTTTTCTTTTTCTGAGCCCCCGCCGATTTAGTTGTCGACGTGACTGACGAGAAACTGTATGCGTTACAGACGTTTCGAGGAAGGTTCTCACCTCCTACCGAAACCGGGGGGGGGCGGAAATCCGGGAGGCGGCGCGGAGAAACCGGGAGGGGGAGGAGCAGGAGGCGTACCCGGGGCACCGAGCGTGGGAGCGGGAAACCCAGCAGGCGGAGGAGCGACGGGGTAGCCCTGCGCACCGGGCGAACCAGATGGGGGTCTGAAGGCGCCGGGGGGTACGGGGTGGAAGTCGGCCGGGCGGTTGTAGGAACCCGGCTGGCGACCCTGGGGAGGTCTAGCTGGCAGGCCGGTGGGAGCAGCGGGGAGGGGCACGGCAGCAGGACGGCCGAGGGCGCCACCGCCGACGTAGGGAGGAGGACCACCGCGATGGGGAGGGCCACCGAAGCCGGGTGGGGGGACGGCGTCGAAACCAGCCGGTGGTAGTGGTAGCGGTGATGGTGTTGCTGCTGCTGCTGCTGCTGCCGCCGTTGCAGGAGGCGGTCTGACGGGAGGCTGAGCAGCAGCAGAAGAGGGAGGCGGAGGGCCCAGGGACTGCTGCTGCTGCCGTTGCTGCTGCTGCTGCTGCTGGTGGACGGGTTCGGGTACGATGTTGCGCTTCTTCGCCTGGGCGGCGAGCTCCCTCTCTGCGTCGTCTCCGTGACGCTCGCCGCGGCCGTCCTTCTTGAAGGCGTACTGGACGGTGACGTCCTTGGAGAGGATGTACTGGCCGTGGAGGTTGGCGATGGCGGCGTCGCTGCTCTCGAAGTCGGCGAAGCTGACGAAGGCGAAGCCCTTGCTGGAGGCGCCGTCGTCGCCGCGGGCCACCTTTGGCAGGGACAGGAGCGGGCCGAAGCGGCTGAAGGTGTCGTAGAGGATGCGCTCGTCGACGAGGGGGTCGAGGTTGCCGACGAAGAGCTCGGCGCCGACGTCCGAGGTCCGCTGCTTGTCGGCCGAGGCCTTGTTGACCCGCAGCGACTTGCCGTACAGCTTGACGCCGTTCATCACGTTGGCCGCGTACTCGGCGTCCGGGGGCGAGCGGAACTCGACGAAGCCGAAGCCCTGGTGGGACTGGGTGACGCGGTCGCGGGGCATGTGGATGTTGTGGATGGGACCCATCTGGAGCATGATCTCGTAGACCATGGCCGGCGTGGCCCGCTCGTCTATGTTGCCTATGTAGACCGTCGCGTCCTTGTCTTGTTCCCTGTGAGGAGAGGATTGGGGGGGTCAGCACAGTGGGGGGGGAAAAAAGCGGCGCGTCTGTGATGATGATGATGATGGGGAGGGGGGGGGGGGGGGGGGGGGGGGGGGGGGGGGGGGGGGAGAGGGTCCTTTTTTCCCTCTTTTTTCTTCTTCTTCTTCTCTTTCTTATCCCTTACCAATGTCTANTTTTAAAAAAAGAGGGAGAATGAAATAGAAGAAAAAAAAGAAGAAGAAAAAAAGCTCGACCCTTATTTGCGGAGCTCTCTCCGTGTTGTATATGCTGGCTGAGATGATTCTTCAACGAAATACCACGCTACCATTATACGTCCGTCGCATCGCTCCATGGTGTCTTATCATCACGTCACGATGATTTTTTTTCTAGGTTTTATTTTATTTTATCCAAAAGATGAAGAAGAACAGGCGGGGGGGACACACTCCCCTCCAAGAAATAGAGAGAGAAAGAGAGAGAGTGTGTGTGTGTGTGTGAATGAGTGAGTGAGAGAGTGAAGAGAGTGAGTGAGAGAGAGAGAAAGAGGGTGAGATTTTTTATTTTATTTTATTTTTTCAAAAAAAAAAAAAAAAACCTGACAGATAATGTATGAAGAGTTGATCGGATTGATGACAAGTGTTGGGCTTGACTCATTGACAAGAGGTGGATTTGTACATATACAACGTACACACATGCTACATATATACTGTATTGCAATGTAACATGTATAGATATCGCGGAGAAAAGCCTCGTAGTAGTTTGGGGAGGTTCGCGAGGCACTGATGCTCTAGGTACCCTACTGATACGATGTAGGTGTGAGGATGTAGAGCATGAATGTGCCCATTGGCGATTGCCATCGTCTGGTAAGGGGCGTGGGAGTGTACAGTAGCAGAGTATGACGTGTATGCAGAGTGGCTATATCAGACTTAGGATATCAATGCAGATGCAACGCTGCGACTTGGGGAGGGGGGGGGGGGGGGGGGGGGGGGGGGGGGAGAGGGTCCTTTTTTCCCTCTTTTTTCTTCTTCTTCTTCTCTTTCTTATCCCTTACCAATGTCTATTTTGCGCCATGGTTGGATGATGCTTTTGCTCCCGTGGAGGGAGGAGGGAGTGTATAGAGACGAAGTCTGATGAGAAAAGAAATTGTCACAGGTTGTCACAGATTGTCACAGATTGTCTCTTCCTTCTTCTTCTTCTAAAACCTAGGAGATGATATAAAAAAGCTGAATTGGTCAAGAATTGGCTGTTCTTAAAAGGGAAGAGATCATTACAAGGACAAGGACATCAGAAACGTGATGCGAGTAGAGAGAAATAGAGAGAAGTACGGGTATAGGTCTGGAGCAGAAAAAAAGAAGGTGGGTTTTGCCGGGAATGAGCCGTCGTCGCCGCATTCTTCTTTTCTTCTCCTTCTCTCCCTCCCCCCCCCCCTCTCTCTTCCCCCCGGTCTCCCTCCCCGTGGTTTCGATCAGAAAAAGCTCTCTCCCTTCCGTTCTATCAACTTGAAAATCTCCCCGTCTTCCGACGACACGACAAAGCATTCTCCCGAGGAATTTCACCCCATCTCCATCTCCATCTCTCACAGCTGATTTCCTCGTTCCCCTCAACCATCGCCATCATGTTTGCCCTTTCTGAGGAGTCCAAGGTTCGTTGCGTCCAGATCACGGCAGATCGACCCCGAAAGATCGGCCCCGAAGGATGAGCCGCGTTTCTCTCTCTAACACGATATGATCTGTAGGAGCGAATCGCCAAGCTCATCGACATTTCGCGTGTCGCCATCCACTAGTAAGTCTCTCTCATTCTCTACCTACAACACCCCCCCCCCCCCCCTCTCCAAAAACAAAAGCAAAAACGACGCGACGTGACAACGACTCTGGATGAGCGAGGATGTGGCTAACTCCTTCGACAGCGGCTACCTCCCCCTAGTGCTGTATCTCGGTATGCCTTGAACCGACGACGGCGATGACGCATGGCAAAGGACGACTGATCTAACCTTTTTTTTTCTCTTGAATAGGATACACCCGCAGCAACCCTCGTCCTTCGATGATCCGGTACGTTCTCGATGCTGATGAGTCTTTTCTTGCCTGTTGATTCAATAAACTGACCTTGTTGTAATAGCCTCCTCTCTCCCCTCTCTTAGAACGACATTTCTGTACGAAGACGAATAGAAAGGAAACGAAGACGAAAAGAAGAACGACAAGAAAAGGCAAAGGTTGAAATAGAATCATGTAATATTATCATGGAGGGGGGTGGAAGGCGGCAGGCTGACGCAAGTGTTATCTCGGGTCATTTTTTTTTTCTCCCTGTGATGAATTGGCCCGGGCGTTGCGCAGCTTGCCGCGTGTAATATGTTTGTCAAGTTGACATCGACGATTGTACAACACTCTCATCTGAAAAGAATGAATCCTACTACTTACTCTACCGGGATTGACTTTTACGTGATGTGGTTTTTTTTTGGTTTTTTTTTTACAATTTTGTTTTTGACTTTTTTTTTCTCTCCCCTGCTACAATCTTGCCATGCTCTTGAACATCAACCCCAAAGTGTCCCCCCAAGGTAAGCCTCAATTGCGGTAGATGTCAGGAGAGAGCTGGTAAGTACTGAGTAGTATCACTCCGTAGGTAATACAGCATGCTACATATTGTGCACTCGTACTCTTCTTTCTCTGCTCTGGTAGCGATAATCCGATTATCATTTGACGTCTGATCCCCACTGAAGCATCCATCGCCAATCATTGCGGGGACAATTCCTCTGACTTTCGACTCTCATCCCTACATCATCTCCCCACGAACTCTTTTTCCTCCTCCTCCCTCTCCTCCTCCTTCCCCTCTCAACTCAATGGCAATGTGAGTATTACAGAGTAATACCAGCCATTGATTGCATCTGACGAGACGACCCGACAAAGAACAACGACAACGACAACGACAACAACAATAATAATAATCCGATGCCCTCCACCGGGGATGCGGGCCTCTCGCCTGCCGTGGTAGAATCCATAGCTGGCCTCAGTGCCGGTACCGTGTCTACCCTGGTGGTGCATCCTCTCGACATAGTCAAGACTAGAATGCAGAGTGAGTCCGTCCCCCCCCCCCTCTCTCTCTCTTCTAAAAGATGACCAGATATGCTGATCTCTTATTTTATTTTTTTTTCTCCTGGTTTCCCCTGCCTCCGTAGTATCCCGCTCCACCCCAACGGCCGACCTACCGAGGACGATGACGATTATCCGATCCATGACATCGGCGGGCCGCCCGGTCGCGGCTCTGTACCGAGGGCTGACGCCGAACCTGGTCGGCAACGCGACGGGCTGGGCGAGCTTCTTCTTCTTCAAGGCGCGCGCCGAGAGGGCGCTGAGCGCGTGGAGGGGGCGGGGGCCGCGCGCAGCCGACGGCCGCGACCCCCCCCCGCCGCCTACGTCGGCCTGGGAGTTCTTGGCCGCGCCCGCCCTGGCCGGCGTGGCCACGACGGCCCTGACGAACCCGATATGGGTCATCAAGACGCGCATGCTGTCGTCCGACCGCGGCGCCGCGGGAGCCTACCCCTCCATGATGGCGGGCGTGAGGTCCATACTGCGCGGCGAGGGCCTGCGCGGCTTCTATCGAGGGCTGGGGGTGTCCCTGTTTGGCGTCTCGCACGGTGCCGTGCAGTTTGCCGTCTATGAGCCTCTGAAGAGGATGTACCTCGCTTCCGCCTCTTCCGTCCCGTCTCCTTCTTCGTCTAGCCACGGCAACGGCAACGGCAACGGAGACGGAAACATCGACGGCGCAGGAGGTGAGAGAGGGAGAGGAAGGGTAGGAGAAGAAAGAGGCGGTCCCATGCCGGTGCAGGTGACCATGCTGATATCGGGAGGTGCGAAGCTGGTGGCCGGGGCGGTCACGTACCCGTATCAGGTCCTGCGGAGCCGCCTGCAGAATCTGGGGGCGGAGGAGAGGTTCGGTCGAGGCATCGCGGGCGTGGTGCGCACGACGTGGCGAGACGAGGGCGTCCGGGGATTCTACCGCGGCGTCGTGCCGGGCGTGGTGCGCGTCATGCCAGCCACGTGGGTGACGTTTCTGGTCTATGAGAATGTCAGGTTCCATCTTCCCAGATGGGTGTGAGTTTTTTCAGCTGTTTTTTTTTTCAGTGGAGGGTTTTTTTTTTCATTTTTTTTTTTTTTGCATCGGTTGCATTCATGGCGTCTTCTTCTGCTCTCTCCTTCTTCATTTTCGTGGTCTTCCCCTTTTTTTTTTTTGGCATTCTCGGGGTGTTTTCTTCTTCTTCTTGTTCCCCTTCACTGCATCTTTGAATAGTACCACTACATCTACATGACGTGTACGAGTAACTAGCATGATAGACTACATCTGATAAATATCCGATATTTAGATACCCTGTAGCTCCACTGCCTCGAGTTCTCTAATCCCATGGAAAATGGACAAGGAAAATTCCCCATTTGAAGATAAATATAAGAAAAAAATAGAAACAAAATAAAAATAAAAATGGCACATCCAATGTAACGTCCATTCGCAAAGATTACTCTTCTTGTCGGTACGTTTTCTCTTTTCCCTTTTCCCCCGGACAAGATATTCCTCCACCCTTGGAGCCGCAAATCGACTTGTCTTCTTTTTTTATTTTTTATTTTAAAAAAAGAGGGAGAATGAAATAGAAGAAAAAAAAGAAGAAGAAAAAAAGCTCGACCCTTATTTGCGGAGCTCTCTCCGTGTTGTATATGC